TTCCTCATCTAGCAAATTCTTTCCTCCTTCCTTATAGTCTACTTTTTCTTTGAATTAAGGGGGAAAATACCACTGCTTTCTTTAGAAATTAAAATTTTTTGTTCCTGGTTTTCTTCTTTTACCAGATAAGCAGCCATGTAAATAAGTGGTGACCTTGTACATTTGTAAATTGCCAGGACACATATGGAAGAGTTTCTCTGTCTTATGAATATTAACATAAGATGATGTAGGTGATATTAAAAGTATAAACTAGAGCCCTAAGAAAAGAATGAAACCTTTAATAATGGTGGAGAGAGATGGGTCTCTGTAGAAAGAGTTGAATTGTCTGCTAACCTATCAAGGTACTAGCCTTACATATAGTAACTAGATCCATCTTCCCTTGATCTTAGTTCATCTTGTAGGGGACAGTTCATCTCCATCCTCCAGGTGAGTACCTGATCAAAGCCAAACCAATAAAAAAATTCCACTCCTGTTGCATTAGTAAGTGCTTTGGGGATGGGCTCATGACCTAAATCTATAGTTCTCAAGGTTTTGTCTCAGACCCCTTTATACTTTAAAAATTACTGAGGACTCCAAAGAGCTTTTGTTTATGTACATTATATCTATTGATATTTATATACTAAGGTGTTTTTAAATATAAAAATATACAAGCACATTCCATTAGCTATCAGAGTGATGATATTATACATCATGTAGTTTCTGGAAAATTCCACTGTACCTAATGAGAAAATGAGAGTGGAAAAATGTGTTACTGTGAAAATATTTCTGACCTTGAAGATGCTCTGAAAGGATATTGGGGTATCCAGGTCCCCCAGAGAGACTCAAAAACTACTGATCTAAATTACAGCCTACAGAAATCAATACCATCTTTGCCACCATGTATAAAGAGCCAATGTGGGAAGTAAGTCAACAAAGAACAAAGTGTAGCTGAAAGATGGCATCTTGTTGACATGGCTTCAGATCCTGAAACTAGCTAACCCTGAAGCCTTTACACATGCTTGGACTTCCTAGTTTCATGAGCCAATGCATTTCTTTCGTCTTAAACTAGGATCAGTTACTTGGAACCAAAAACATCCTCATATATCTGAATTTCTAGATGGGAACCTCAGAGGAAGAGAGTAAGGGTGGAAAAAACACAAAGGACAAGGGCACAAAATAACTATTCAAGCAGCAATCTGCACAGAACAAACAGAATATCAATCATGCAAGGAAAGCCCTGGCTGGTATAGCTCAGTGGATTGAGTGCGGGCTTATGAACCAGAGGATCATGGTTCAATTCCCAGTCAGGACACACGCCTGGGTTGCAGGCCAGTTCCCAGCAGGGGACACAAGAGAGGCAACCATGCACTAATATTTCTCTCCTTCCCTTCCCCTCTAAAGATAAATAAAATCTTTTTAAAAAAAGTGCAAGGAAAGTTCAAGTTTATTTTAAACATGGAAGACACTGGAAAACATTGTCCCAGTTGTTCCCAAATCAGTGCCACCAAACTCCACAAGCAACTGAGGTGGCTCAGCTTCCCATCAAAGATAACAAGGGCATAGACCTGAAAGCAAAATGTTAAATTTCATTAGTAGGGATGAATCAATTTATGTCACTAGACTTTAGAAAATTCTAATCTAGAAAACTACTTCTAGAGGGAAAGCGTTAGGCTACTTAAGCCAAATATTAAACATTTCTCCAGGACTCTCTATGGAGCTGCATTTTCTCTAAAAGCATATCTAATTACTAAATCCCGGCTTTTAAAGAAAACTTTCAACCTTCATTTCTGACAGGCTGAATTTTCTGTTCTCATGGCTCTAGAGAGTAATGTAATCTATGAACTGCCCATACTGCGTTTGAATAGTGACCCTCAAAATTTCACACCCACCCAGAACCTCAGACGGTGGCCTATTTGGAAATAGGGTCTCTGTAGATATAATTAGTTAAGTGAGGTCATACTCGATTACTTTTTAGTCCCCAAATCCAGTGACTAGTATCCTTATAAGAAGGGCACGTGGAAATACACACAAAGAAGAAGGTCATGTGAAGATGGAAGCAAAGACTGGAGTGACAGAGCTACAAACTGAGGGCTGCTGACACCAGGAGCCAGCACCAGACAAAGAATTCTCCTCTAGAGCCTTCAGAGGGAGCATGGCTTTGTGATAGCTTGATTCTAAACTTCTGGCCTCCAGTAATACGAGAGAATAAATTTCTGCTGTTTGTGCCACCCAGCTCGTGGCACTTAGTTATAGCAGCCCTAGGAACTAGTACACTAATTCAGCCAGTCTAAAAATTCATCTTGAATGTAACCATGCTCCTTTTGGGGAAAATAAGAGGTTAAAACCAACCAAAGTTGTACTTAGTACCCATTTAAAAAATTTTGTGCTAAATACACATAATAAAATTTAGCATTTTTGCCACTTTAAGGTATAAATTCAGTGGCATTAAGTATTCTATTCAAAATGTTGCTGGCACCCACTTTTAATTTTAGTTGTGGCCATTAGCCAAACAGGAAAGAAGAGATAGTGAAATGAGCCTTAGAGAAAGAGTAATTCATTATCAAATCTGTTTTTGCTCACATTTAGTGCGGGCGAGGAGAATCTGACCACAGAAAAGTAAGCTTGTATCTTATTTATATATGAAGATTGTGATTAACATGGGAAAACTGAAGTATGATACCAGAGGACTAAGTGTAAATATACCATTACAGCAAAACCCCTAACTTCATTCAGTAATTCATCTCTACTGATAAAGTTTCATCTTCATAATGAAAATCATTATGAAAGCCAGATGTTTACCTTTTATGTTAACTCAGTCAATGTGAACTCCTATAGTTTTCAATATTAAAACTTTTAAGAATGGAGAGAATAAATCCCTGGGTGCTTATCATTCTCCACATACAAGCTGTTTAACTCTTTCACTCTGGTTGTCCCTCCCACCATGTTTTTGAGACATTTGTCAGTGTTTAGAAATGCTACTGTCTTCCCACATTCCAGAAAATGTTCTTTGCTGTAACACCTGACACAGGGAGAATTTTGAAGAAATGTTGCATTGTAACAGGAGTAAAAAAAGCACGTACATATTGCCATATTCATCCAGTAACCAGCAATCAAAGAAAAAAGGTCACATTAGACAGTAAGGTCACAGTTTTTCCTGTGTAAATTTTATTACAGCTTGCTAAATTTACCAGACATTAATACACTTGAGAAAATTTGTGGAGGACAAGTATCCATTATAATTGTCCAGTTTAGTTCTACTAGTATCACTTTTTTTCAGAAACGAGTACTTGCAGCAAACAAACCTCCATATACTTTACAAGGTTTAATTCATATTCACCCTTTCTAATTAAATTTTAACTAAGTTTACCAGTACTACTTTTGTACAGTAAGCCCCTTGTTTCATGTTATCTGTGAAACAAGTGTCAGTTTCTTTCCATGAATAATTATAGAATTTCTCAGTTGAAAGGGTGCTTATTTAGTCTACCACCTTATTTAACTGAAGAAGAAGAGATCAAACTTGTTGAAGATTACAGAACCTATTAGTGGACAAGTTTAGAATTTCTCTCTCTGAAAATTCAAGACATTTAATCTTTTCAAATGTCTGAGGGAACTGTAGAGAATAAAAATAGGTTACAGAGGTAACAATATAACCACCTATTTGCTCTTTATCTTCAGAGTTAAAGGAAACTTCTCTTGGACATACTTTCCCATATAAGTGTCTGTATCTCATTTGAAACTTGGTAAGAATCCCTTGGCCATCAGGCTCTATGTTCATAGTTATAAGAAGTGGATTCAGGACCTGGCTTCAATTTTTAATCCATCGTCGAAAATACTAGCAATCCACATACTCAAATTTTATTTTACTAATTTATCCCACCTCAATGCCATTCACCATCTCCTTTGTACTCCCGTTATTTAAAATGAAATACTAACAATGTGAATCTTAAGTGAGAGGTCAAATCCATGCTCCAAATGGAAGAATAAAAAACACATAGCCATCAAACTGAGGTTTTAATTGTGGACCAAGGTTGATTATACATTTCGGACACTTTGCTTTTCAAGTGTCCCAGGTTTTACCATGGCCGAGAACCAAAGGGAAAAATATATACGTGCATATATAACTTTTTAATTTATAAGTTGAAAGGGCTAAAAGAAGGTAACTAAGAAACCGGTAGGAAATAGGCACAGGTGATTAATAACATTTTATGCAAAACACCTGAAAAAAAGTGGTAAATACTAAAATGAAACTCAAATGCCTTAGCCTGGGTTCTATTTCCACTTTTGTGACACGGTTAAGGTGGGAGCGACACCTTATCACTAAAATTGATGCTTTTCATTGAAAAGCAGAGACTGTATCAAAGAAGCCACAAAACCAAAGGAGAGCCGCAGGAGGAAATGCCAGGTTCTCTACACTAAGATGCTGCAGACTCCTAAGCTTGTGAAGATCGCGTGATGGGGTCCTAAAGCACAGACTTCGAGATGGGGTCCTAAAGCACTGGAGAAGCAGACTGAGGAAGCAATCGGAAGACAAGGCTGGACTGGATTCTACCTTCTTCAAAACCCCCGGCGGAGTGTCAAAGCAGCCGCCGTTCTGCCACTCACGCAGCTGTCTAAGCGCCAGCCAAGGAGCCCTCAGGGAATCGGCCGGCAGGGAGCTCCAGGGCGATGCGAATGGCCCCTCTTGCAAAGCCCTTTCCTCTACGGCTCAGAAGACCGTCACCGAAGCCCACAGAGCCGGCCAGAGGCCTCGCCAACTGATAGGCGCGCAGCTCGGCAGGGGATTGCTTCTGCCTGGCGCTCCGCTGAGGCTGCGTTCGAGCCCCGCGCGCACCCGCTCCCCCGCACTCCTAGCCAATCCCGCGCTACTCGCGCATCCCGGGGCGTTCGCCAGCTGTCCGGGAGCTGAGGCTCCTTCCCGCTTCCAGCACTCCGCTACCGAGCGCTCACTCCTCCCCTCACTCTCCACGAGTTCCACGCCTCGCGGTGTAGCCCCGCCCCGTCCTCAAGCCCGCCCCCACAACCTCCCGAGCGTGTGCTCCCCTTTCTGCTCAGTCTCCAGCCATCCAGCCAGCCAGCCGCTCTGGCTCTCGCGCCCTGCCGAACAGCGCGGGTCTCTCCGGCTTTGGACCGACACCTCCGCGCGTTCCGCTCCTGCGGCCTCAGCGTGTGCCCACCGCAGCTCCGCTCCCGACCCTGCTCCGGGTCGCGCGCCCTGACTCCGCCCCCTCCCGCGGACTCGCGCGCTCCAGGCGCGGCCTCCCCCGAGCGCAGGCCGACCGGCACGGGGCCGCTTCCCCCTCCTTCCCCGCTCACCTCGCGCTCCCGCTCTCGCGCTGTCCAGGGCGAGCGCGCTCCCGGCCGGCGCGCTCCGAGCTCCGGCTTCTCCCGGCTTCTGTCAGTGCGGTGACTGCGCTGGGAAACATGGCGACCGAGGGAATGATCCTTACTAACCACGACCATCAGATCCGTGTCGGAGTCCTCACAGGTAACCGGGGAGGAGGTCCGGGACCGCCACCGCCGCTGTCCTCGACTTGCCTCGGGATTCTTGCCTGTGGTGACCCTTCTCTGAGGCCTCGGGAGGAGGGAAGCCTGAGAAGGGGAACGCGAAAGGGGGGCGTTTTACAACCGCGGAGATCTGTAGGTTGGGGTGTTCCCATGGGGCCCCCTGGGAGCAGGAGCCGGTCCCGTGGGATGCCAGGCCCCAGCGCTTCGCAGCCCAAGTCCCTGGACCCTGGGGACCAAGGGGCCGGTGCGGCGGGCGCTGCGGGGCTCCTTGCTGCCGGTGCAGGCGGCGGGATCCTGGGGCTCCGCAGTCAAGCACGCCGCTGGGCTGGCCCGCGCGCTTCCTCCGCTAATGCACGTCCAAGAAAGGGGGGGAATCCCTTTTCCACCCCCTCGCTACCCTCCCCTCCCCCACTCCAGTGGCCCCGCGCCGCTCCTGCCGCGCTTGCCAGGGGCACGGGCCGGACCCCACTTGGGTGTTCATCAGGCGGAACTCTGCTCAGCCTTGGGCTGCCCCTCACGGGCCGGGCTTCCCCTCAGCCACCCATGGGACACCCCAGTCCCCCCCGAGAGGCGGGGGATCGGCTTGCACCCGGACCTCGGAAAGTGTCTGCATTTCGCCTTCCGAAGCCAAGGCCCCTCTGCTCGCCTCAGCGTTTCCCTAAGAGGGACTGGCTGATCCTGCTCCTGGGGATCCAGCCCTTTTCACTCGGGAGAGGATTCCCCCTCTTGGGCTCTTCTGTCCTCTTCCCCTCTAGATCCCCCCCCCCCCCCCCCCCGCCACCCCTTGGTCCCGAGGCTGGTGATGAGCGCACTTTTCCCGGTCGCGTTTCCCTCCCTCGCGGAAACAGTGTGTGCCCTGCATGTCTGATTCCGTTGCGTTGTATTTGGGTGATGTCCCTCAGTTCGGCGATAGGCAGTTGCTGCAGGGCATGACTTCCGAGATGAATAGCAAGCCAGTTTGTAGGGGTTTCTGCTGTGGTTCTGTAGTTGACGAGGCTTATGTGTAATTGAGTGGCAAGGCGGGGGTTAAATAACTATATTTAGGATCTGAGGGTTTAGTACAGAGTAAAGGGAATCCAAGATTTACTGTTGTGATTTCGGAAAAAGAAGTGATGTAAACGGGAATCCTAGTGTTCCCCCTCACCCCGCCCCAATTCCTTTTAATTTTTTTTTCTTGTCAGATTCTGACAGGTTGAGACGGTGCTCGAGAAGGGACTAAATTGAATGAGACTTGCTTTTATTATTAGGTGGTAACAAACCCCTGCCAATACATACTGAGTGCTAAAGCTTAATTTGGCTGCTGAGTTTTATGACAAGAAGATATCCGTGACACTCCACCCACTCTTTTCAGTAAATGGGCTGCTTTTTCCTAGTTTTTCTTCCCAGATGTAAATGGTGATTTATTGAATTTTTCTAATCGAAAGCTTCTTAGATAGAGAAACTAGTCTAAACCAATTGCTAGAAAGGGAATCCCCCCACATCAGAAGATGGGCTGTGCTCGCTCGCTGTCTGTCTGTCTCTCTCTCTCTGTCGAAACTGTTGTCTTGGGCTAAGATTCACTTATATCTCAGAATCGTTAAAGTTAACATTGCTTTTCAAAATCTGGTCGTAGGGTGTAAAAGTGTAAACCCTGTTTCAACTCTCAACTTACTCTTTGATTTCTACTCATGTGTTGAAAGCTAGAGAGTAGTGAAAAAATGAAACTTAATAAAAACCAAAGTATATCAGCTGACCATGGAAATGAAAGGTCATAGATGTCTTAAAAGTTAAACCATAGAGATTTAAATTTTTTTCGTTTATTTAAGCTTTCCCTGATAGTTTTATTTAGTGAGTCATCTTACTTGGTTGGTGACAGAATTGTAGAGAATGCTTTGAAAGATTCAACCCTCATCTGTAACCCTACAGTCCAGTAGGGAAAAGATTGATATACAAACAATGAAAGAAACAATGTATGCAATTATTTTGCTGAAATTGTCTAAATAAATTATCTGTGCATTTGAGTACTAAACGTAAAAGGAATTCCATGTTCAGATGGATTTGGATCAAATGTGATTACCGAAGGCAGAATTTAATACATTTACCAGAGGTTAAGTAAAAATTGATATTTTTAAGGGTAGTTGAAAGTGGAGAACCTTATAAGTGAAAATGTTGGTGAGGATGAGGCTCTTGAGCAGAATAACAATGTAATGCAAAGGCCTGGAAAAGCCCAGGTGATATTGGTAGGCGACAGACAAAATGTCAAGGAGAGAAGAGAACTTTGCCAATGGAATTGAAGATAGTCTGGAGAAGCTGTCTCCTGAGAATGAGGTACAGTAGTTGAGGGGGAACGTCCAGGGTCAGGAATAATGATGTAGCTGAAGGAATGAAGAGAAAGTTGTAGATTTGGGAGAAGTGGTAACAGAGGACCATAGGATTTGATTATGGCATGGCATATTTGAAGTCAGAAATAATTCTAGGGTTTTTACTTGGAAAGTTATTGATATAAATATTTTCTACTATGAGCCTGGAAATGGAGAAGAATCAGACAAAAGAGCACCAGCCCTCAGTGTACAAGTAGTGAATTTTGTTACAAACAGCTTAATATTTATGCTCTTGACATTCCATTTAATTTTATGCAACAAAGAAACCCCTGTAAAAGTGAAGGTGTGTTGTGCAATTTTGTGTCTTGTAGAACTTCGAATGTTGCAGTTTTACTGTGTGAAATTATTCTTTACCGAACTTAAGTACTATGATTTTATACTTAAGAATATTGAGTTAAGAGGCCGCACTTAAAACTATGATTTTATGAATTGTAATTCGAGGCTCTTTTTAAAGGTGAAGGGCTTGTTTTATAAAATATCCTCTGCATGCTTCATACCAGGGATTTTAAATATTTTATCTAAATCTATTCTGTAGAGGTAGTGGAAAGTACCTCTACTTGTGCATACATTTTACAGTGTGGTAGTATTTTTGTGAAACTTTATTGTCATTTCTAAATCTTTAATTGGTTTATTTGTGATATTTTTGATTTTATGTTGCAAGATAATATTTATACTTTGAAACTTTTCATCTTCTGGATTTTTTAAAGTCTTTAGGTCAGTTATGTATTTGGCAACTATATTATGCAGTCTATTGAAACTTCTTATCAAATAACTATTAGAATTTTGAAAGAATAGCGGTAGAAAAGAAAATGTTTACTAAGCCATTTATTCCTTTACCTAAAATCTTGAATTATTTAGACTTGGAAGTTAGATTATGATCATGTAACATGGATATTTTAGTTATAGTAAATAATCAGGAAAATTGGGAACATTTTTCTATACAAAATAAGTAATCATGGAAGCATTTTATGTTGAATATTATTATTCATCTCTAGGAACAATATCTTTGTTAGTAACTATTTTATGTTGATTTACTATGTATAAATGAAGTGTTATAGGTCTTTTGTGATCTAATATCTAGTTTCCAATATATGTTTCTAATATTCTCTATTTCTACTGCTCTTTATAATAGAGACAAAAGACAATGTGATGATGAATAACACAGGGCAAACAAACACGGATCTGCTGTTTTGAAACTAGAAACAAGAAGTAAGGCAGATACAGGGTTTTGATAACTTTAGTAGTAATTATACTTTTAGAAGGTCTTAACAATTACACAGCTGAGTAACTATATTTCAAATGGTCACTTTTCACCTAATTTTTTCTATTTCTAATGAAGCTGTTTATCAAAAGAGTACATTAGTTCTACCACTATAAATGTTTCTCCAAGACAGCAGGAAAATAATGAATACCTGTGTGGATAATAGAGAATGAGACAGATTATGTTCCATTGGGTATTTAAGGTCATATTAGCTAGCCACTGCTAATGTTCAGTATCAAAGCATTTAGATAAAGATGGTAATTCATTACCTAAATTTTCACTAACAGTGGCACGGGTGAGAAATAATGCAAATATTCAGAAAGGGCATTTTAAAAATCATCCTTTTGCTCTAGTAATACTCCTTTTATTGCACTAAAGCTGTATATTTATAATCAGTAAGAGATATTAGAACAAGATGTATGACTAGATAATAGAGATAAAAGACTAATTGTAAACTAGAATATCTAAAATATTAGTTACATGTAGGGAGTATTTCAGTCATTCAAAATAGTTAAAAACCAGACTAAGTCAAGGAGATGATAATCTTGTAACTCTGGAATTTTTTAAGCATTTATTTTATTTCATTGGTCAAGCTTATCCTTCTACATTATAACTGTCAATTTTGTATCCTGAAAAGCCCATTTATTGATGAGGATATATAAATATATCTTTGTTTGGAGAATAGATGTTGTCATTAAGTGGCCAAATCACTATTGCAAACAAAACCTAAATCCTACCAAATGGAATTGTGTATTCTGGCAGACATACCAACGTTGATCTGTGTGACTTTTGTTGAAAGGAAACATAGCTCTTAAACTAGGTTGTTCTTTCGTGAATTTTTGGTTGCAGGCAATGTATTAGAGATTTAAAATTTTAGTTCAAGTGTGAAATCATTAAATTAATTTCTAATGAATATACTTAATACTATTATCACTGACCAAAGACTTTATAAACTATTAGTACATAGGTTGTTACATATTAAGAGCTCTAACTTTATTGAAAACCCATATGACAATTTCACTTTAACTGAGCTATATGGTAGAGAATCAGTGATATGTTATTGAGAAGGAAATGATATATGAGTCTATTTTTACTCTTTCAGGTGATAGATTTCAGGTTAAATTGAATAGGGTGCTTTTCTGAAACAGTGAGTAAAACAGATGATATCAGTACTTTGCTCCTAGAAGTAGTATTGAAGATTGATAAAGCATATTTTGAATTTGAGATGTTAAAAAATACTAAAAACGAAAGTAATGAAACCATAGGGATTTCTTCTTTCACATCTGGGCAGACAGGATAAATTGGGAAGGAGAAAAGATTAATCTGCTTAAAAGTAATTGGGAGTGTAGTTATAATAAT